ACTATTTTAAATACAGAAAAAATGATAACATTCAAATCTTATTTTTATTACAAATATATACATAATTTTTTATTCATATAACTAGAGAATAAATATAAATTGAAAGTGAAAGAAAATTATAATGAAATGGTACAAATATACCATATATAAGAAAATATTTGTCCTAATTTTTTGTTTGTGTATTGTCATTGTATAATTGATATAATGAAGTTTAATTTCATAATTGATATATATATAATGTGAATGTATGTATAAATTTTTCCATATTACACACATAATTCGCAATGGAATTCGCGATACAATTAAAAAAGGAGTACGACAAATTTTTGACGTTTCTCTGTCTTCATTCCATAAATATTTTTCAAGGAAGATGTTGAGATATATATATATATAAAATTGTACAAATAATGTGTATCTTGTTCAAGTTCTCATAACAATTTTAGATTAAATAAAAATATTAAATGATATAAAAATAGTTAACAAATTGTGTGTGTACAAGAAAACATGTGTTGTAAAAGAAATAAGTTCATTAAATAGTAGAGTTATCTGTTTGATGTGATATCCATATTTCTTTTTATTTTTAACATATACACACGCATACAATTAATGATAGATATAAAATCTTACTAAACAGATGTGCATACATGATACTCATATGACAATGTGGATTTCCATTGTATAAATTAATAATAAAATGTTAAATTCTACAACTCATCTCTAAAGTTTAAATTGCTAAAATGACACTGACAAGAATGACTAGGTTGTGGTACTTCTTCCATATTATCTAGTATTTCAACTTTACTCTTTAAGCGTTTACTCCATTCCTGAAATATAAAAATTATATTATTTGGCAAAGATATATCTGAGAAAAATATCTAAAATAAGACTTTCTCACATACATGAAATAAAACTGTATAATAACATAATATATCACGTGGTAATAAATTGTCCCTTGCAAATTGTCTGGCAGATTTAACAATCTTCAATCCATCCTCGTCATGTCCCTTTGCCCACATAATTTTTTCGACAAGATCCGAGAGATCACTTTTTACAGGTACATAATGTAATCCAGGTATAAGATCTTTATAAAAAAATTCATAATAATTGGATTCTTGCTTAAATACCAAAGAATCTCCAGCAAGTAAATATGGGAATCGATATGCTGCTACTGTGCCATCAATATTCAGTTGATATTTGTACTATGAAAAAATTATACAGAGTCAATATAAGAGATTATTAATATAAATATATATAACAAAGTTTTGTATACAAATTTAATTTCTCTTTTTTAACATGTTTAAACTTTAATATTATATTTACTGTTTCTACATTTCTAAAGCTTTTATATGTATATATGTACAATTTCAAAATTATAATACATTTTAGAAGAAATAGAAAAGAACAATTTTCTCTGATTAATATAAAAAAATATACACCAAACTCTGTAGCAGGGCTTATATCGCTTATATACACATATATCAGATATTGCGATAAGATAATGTATAATTACCTCTAAGAATATAACTTTGATAAAGAGATTTAACTTTTTTGTATTTACCTTAAAAAAATTAAAAAATGATACATGGTTTTGTGTAGGCCCATATTTATCCATTTCATCCCTAAAGAAGAAGAAATTAGTAATAGAGACATTGAAGAGCTCTGGATGCTTTCTTGAAATATCTATTAAATCTAGCCGTTCCCTTCTGGAATCACGTCCACGCCAAAATAATTGTTCAGTCTTATTTTCCCATGACAATCCAGTGTTACCTTGTACGGAGAGTGTATCTAACATTACCCTATTTTTCAGGAATATAATATTGCAAATAAAATGATAATTTAGATTATTAACATTATCAATGCATGTTATACCTTCCCATTGCTTCCATGGATGATTCTGTGATATCATATGTAGGCATAACAATATCTTTAGTATTGCCAGAACCACACCATGCCAAACTCTGTAGCAGGGCTTATATCGCTTATATACACATATATCAGATATTGCGATAAGATAATGTATAATTACCTCTAAGAATATAACTTTGATAAAGAGATTTAACTTTTTTGTATTTACCTTAAAAAAATTAAAAAATGATACATGGTTTTGTGTAGGCCCATATTTATCCATTTCATCCCTAAAGAAGAAGAAATTAGTAATAGAGACATTGAAGAGCTCTGGATGCTTTCTTGAAATATCTATTAAATCTAGCCGTTCCCTTCTGGAATCACGTCCACGCCAAAATAATTGTTCAGTCTTATTTTCCCATGACAATCCAGTGTTACCTTGTACGGAGAGTGTATCTAACATTACCCTATTTTTCAGGAATATAATATTGCAAATAAAATGATAATTTAGATTATTAACATTATCAATGCATGTTATACCTTCCCATTGCTTCCATGGATGATTCTGTGATATCATATGTAGGCATAACAATATCTTTAGTATTGCCAGAACCACACCATGAAAAGATAGGATAAAGCGGGCCCGTATCAGGGACGAGTGGCCAATCACCCAAATTTACAAAAAATTCAATGTCTGGCAGTACCACTTTACGTACGAGCGACAACAATATGGCATCCATAAATATTTTAAAGCCAACGTATTGACCATAACAATGCCTATAAATCTAATTTAATCTAGTTTGAGTTACATTTATAAATAGATAGATAGATAGATATCTATAAATAAAAATATAAATTATAGATTGATAGTATTTTATAACATATTTACTCTGTTAGATTTCAATACATAATGACAAATGCTAACACTGGTTGGTTGATCATATCTCTTGATAATGCTTTGGCGTATTTGATCAAAATCAATATTCAAAAATGGAGAAAGATCATCATGTATTTGAGTGTAATTTTGTCTGCATTGATAATGATATAGCCAATTAATGATAGATGGATTTGGACAGTAACATTCCTCCTCATAAACAGGACCTAAAAAAAGATCTCTTTGTTAGGCTTAAGATTTTGTATAAGAAAAAAAAAGATACATGCATACACACCTTTGATTTCTGAATGAGGCAATGATAATTCTTTTCCCTTAATCTTTACTTTAATATTAATGTTAGAACAAGTATTAAAAACTTTATAGCGTACAATAAAACTTCCATCTTTACAGTCAAAAATTTGAGTCCATATGCGGCATGGTACATTATTAAAGGAATGTCCATATACTTGCCCAGTAACTATATTTTCACCAGGAGATTTTGTCAGACTAGAATATATAATAACATAATATAATTTAACATATAGAAGATAAATAAGTTATAAAAATATTAATTGCAAATATATTGTAAATGCATTATAATTTAGCTTCGAGACAATATAAATATATATATATATTTCTAGCTGAAATTTTATTCTTATCTTTAAAAATTATATTATCATATAATAAATTTTAGAGTATTCTGTATATAATTATTATAACACAAATGTGTAAATTTTGCTATACTTGAATACCATTGATGTCATTAATGGCTTTACAAATGTTCATTCAATATTTTTCTATGTTTATTTTATACTAACTGAATATAATAAATAAATAAATAAATAAATATATATATTTATTTATTTATTTATATATATATAAGATTATATATATAATTGAACATTAACTTTCTTCCATCTAAATCTACAAGTTGTAGAAAGAAATATCTGGCACGCATTGTAATTGCTGCTGGTCTCAATCCTGGACCCCAGACAATTGTTTTCAGTGGATCTACATCAAAGTGATTTCTTGCTTTCGCGCAAACAAATAACAATAACAATGTTATTAAGTAGCGCATAATTGTCAGAAATATTTAAACGGACAATGTGTATAACTATCCTGAATTAATATAATGCCTCCGTTACTGAAAATTTAAATTTTGAAAATTAATTATAAGGTTATGATAACATTTGCTTATAGTTATCGTACAATATTTAAATTATCTATGAAGATGTAAGCTTTATAGCATGCTATGCTTTATTACACAATCGCGTTTGCTATTTGAGCTTATACTTACTTGTACTTTTATTGTAAATGCATAAATTTTTCAATAACCGGCTATTCGCGCGCGTTACTCTTGACATTTCAAAAGTTTTTTTTATATATATGTATTATATACTAATAGATGTGCACCCACATCCACATGCGTGCACATACATAAACACATGCTATCTGTCGTTGCATGCTTTTTATATGAAGCTGATAAACAGATTAAAATAAACTGAGAAGACGATTGCAATTGACAAAACAAATTCATGAAATTATTTCTCACTGATTTAAACATAATTCTCAATATTATCTGAAAGAAAAAAAAATAAATTTTAAAATCACTGACATGATAGAGACATGATAAAGTTAAGGAATATATATAAAAAGTTCATTGACAGGATTAACCGATATATTGTTAATATAATTTTTATATAGTTTTTTGCATACTCTTAAAGTATTATATTTACATATACATGTAATATACATTTTTTTTTAAATTAATTTTTGCTGACATTTTCTATGACATTACATTTTACATATAAATAAATAAATAAACTTTTAACATTTCTATAAATTGTCAATGAGAATACATTATCATGTTAAACACTAGCAAATTTGTACAGCATTACAAATATATTTTATTTCATCTTTTTTGTCTCTATTAATGTTCTACGTTAAAAAATATATTTAATTTGGAAGAGTAATGTGCATATATATATATATATACACACACACACACACACACACACATTAATATTACACATGGAAAATCTGTTTCATTTTTTTGTTTCATAAAAGTTCTTTTTCCAATTTCAAGGCTTCCAACCAAGAAAGCTGTCCTGTATTACTATCTGCTTGAATATACTGTTTGTAATGGATTGCACGGGCTTTCGATTTCGTTGAGCTTCCATGATATAAGAGACCTTGCTTCGGGCTTCTGCTCGCGATATGTCGCCCCGAAGACCGAGCAGTCTAATCAGATGGTCCTCGGTCATGTCGGGATACTTCTCGATTAACGAATGCAGATCGAGCGAGAGAATCTCCGCGTCCTCGCATCTCAATACCTCGGCGAGACGTTTTATTATCTCGAACGGCGAATTAAAATTACCAATTTTCGGCGCGATTCTGTCGAAGAAGTTTTTCAATTTGTCCGCCTCCGTCATTATCTTCGATGTGCACGTCAAACATTCGTCGTACGTTTTCAACGATATCTTCCTCTGTAACATCGCGGATATGTAACGCTTAGCGATTAGATTCTGCGCTTCTGTGATAACATACTCGAAATTTTCGGGACTCAGATGGTTATAATCCTGAAAATAATCCTCCAAAGTAACACAGATAGTCTCCACCGGGATAGACGACGACAACCATCTGGGTGTAATCAAATCTTGAAAATGCAGCTCCAGATCCAAAAAGGATTCTTGCAACAATATGGCTGCGGCCTCGTTCCTCAAATGCTGATAATTCGCTAAAAGATTTTCAAATTTTACAGTGGCGTCCCCGGTAATATTGGGCATCCAATAAAGTTGCTTCATCTGCTGCGCCAACTTGTTGAACTGCATACAGTTATTGACTATTGTAATCATATGATGAGTGAAGTAAGGAACCTGACTCCTGTCTTCAAAATGTTTTGTTTTAAATTCTAGTATTGCTTGTCTATACATGTTACCATATTTAGTTACTTGTTCTATACAGAGAACCAATGCTTGCGCCGTTAAATCAGGACTGATGGTCTTTGCAACTTGAAGATTTTGATCAATCATTTGAAATATAATAACTGGTGCTGCAGTGTGATAATATAGTTCTTGAGTACTGCTGTCAGGTAGGACACCGCTTCTCCAATCGAGTTTTTCTGTTTCCAACGTTTTTCTCATCCAATCTTCATAATTTTGACACATGTTTCGCAAATACTTCTCCTGAAGATCATTTATCATCTCGGGACTAAGTAGTGGACCAATATCTGATGTGTCGATATTTAATTCGGGATGCTGCATCAGTTCTGGTCCTGTATAAATATTCATAATCCATGCTAACAGAGAAACATATTCGTTACCTTCTAATCCATTGGTAATTATATCCTTTAAATGTTGGGATAGACTGGTATGATACATATTAACAAAAGTCCTCACTATGTCGTATGAAGGTGGGAAACAAGGCTTACATAGAGTCTTTACTACTCTCAAATCCTCAAGAATCAAAAGTCTCGTAAGTTCTAAATATCTTACTAGCCACATTTTGTTATCCGCTCTCTCATCTACCTGAGTTCCTTCAATTCTATTGGCCACTGATTTTTCTAATATCTTCATCGCCATATCCTTCCATCTCTTTGGTCTACCTGGTGCCATAAAACCACTTTGCTTGTGTCTTTGAATAGCAAACTGATCCGCTTTCTCTTCCCTTTCTATAATTCTCAGAGGTGTTACTATGACAGTAGGTTCCTTTCTGACTGTATTTAAAGTACGACTCAATACCAGTCTGATCTGTTTTTCCATAAGTTGTGAAAGCATTTCCACATCTTCGAAATAAGCTTTCAGCATAATTGTATCCGCTGGCGATTGATTTGGCAATTTATGAAGCTCGTATAATAATTCATCTCTGGAAGTTTCAAGATCCATCAGGCTTTGATGCGCGTGTAGCAATTTGCCCTCGTTTATCCATTGCTTCGTCTTCTCGACACTCTCGGGAACGGTGAATATATGCTTCAAGTTCTCCTTCGCGATGACATATTGAGAATGACGCATGTTCTCTTCCTGCACCGCTTGTAGCCTCGAACTAAGCTTCAGAACAGAACTGAATAGCTGGTTAACATGATCCAGATCCTCTTTGACAACGGTGATACTTTCTAGAGAACTTTGTAGCTGCTCAAAGCCGACCCTGACTCCGTCCAATTGACTTTGCATCGCGGTCTTTAACATAGTCTCGACGGATGCCTTTTTCCTGCTGACATAGATGAGAAAATAATTAAAGGTAAGGTTATATAAAGGAAGGTTAAGTCATGAGCCTTGGCAACCCATAATGCAATGCAAAAAATTGATATGTGCGCAGTCGCTATTGAAAAGAGATACTAAATAAGGTAGACTGTTATTGGCTCTCGCGGCCTTTCGCAATGCATTATGGTTTGCTACTGATCATGTAACTTTTTCCCTAGGGCGGGAAAACGTGAAAAGTAAAAAATATTAGCATTGAAATCAATAGCAAAATTTTTCACTTTTCACTTTTTCGCCCTAGGGGAAAAGTTACATAATCAATACCATAGACATAGTATATCTAGACCGAGTGTTGAGGAGTGGGAACCGCAGTTGACCTGGCCGCTGCAAAAGATTGGTGACATACTTCGTACCCCTAGCTATCGCTTCTTCTTCCAATTTTTGTAGATCTTCCATATTCGCCGTCGTTTTTGTTGACATTTATGCTTTGAATCGGCAAACTGTCAGAACTTTATTATTCTCTTTTTCTTTTTTCTTTATTAATAGATTTCCGTCTCAGAGATTTGTTTTCTTTTTTTTTTTAATATCTCTCTTTAAAAGGAATAGAGAGTAAATACTACAAATTTGTTTTAACTGAAAAATCTCCTGAGTTTCTTGAAATTGGACATATACATATTGATATCAGACGAGCTTTCTCAATATTTATCAATATTTATCAACGCCCGTTTCATCCGGCCAAACACAGCTGTATGGAAAAACTTTTCTTTTGGGAAAACATTTTACATAGATGAGAAAATAATTAAAGGTAAGGTTATATAAAGGAAGGTTAAGTCATGAGCCTTGGCAACCCATAATGCAATGCAAAAAATTGATATGTGCGCAGTCGCTATTGAAAAGAGATACTAAATAAGGTAGACTGTTATTGGCTCTCGCGGCCTTTCGCAATGCATTATGGTTTGCTACTGATCATGTAACTTTTTCCCTAGGGCGGGAAAACGTGAAAAGTAAAAAATATTAGCATTGAAATCAATAGCAAAATTTTTCACTTTTCACTTTTTCGCCCTAGGGGAAAAGTTACATAATCAATACCATAGACATAGTATATCTAGACCGAGTGTTGAGGAGTGGGAACCGAGGTGCACGTAGAAAAGGACATACTCTGTTTCGTGCCCCTTGCGTTCTCTCTCGCTCGCACCTTTCAGTAAATAACAAAGATAGAACGACGCTCGGTGCACACGGGTGATGTTCTCAAACGCAGCCCTGGTGTATACTTAGAACATATATAAATAGAAGGGGAATGCCTTTGTTTCCCGATAGAAAAACATGTCGGAAGGAAGTGAGAAAGAAATCATAGTTGCCTCTCTCTTGTGAGTAACTATGCTCAAAAGTGCGCATGCACGTTACATTAGTCACAATGTGTGTGTACACAAAAGTATGTATACTATAGACACGATGCTTGTATGTGTAGTTACTCACAAGAGAGAGGCAACTACGATTTTCTTTCTCACTTGCTTCCGACACTTTTCAGCCTGCTATTCTCCTTCCATTTATATATGTTCTAAGGGTGTATACTAATAGTGGGCGTTTTCCAGCAAGGTACACTGGGCGTCAACGATTCGTTCCCTGAGGTAAGAGGGGTACATAGAAGTACACAATGGGCCATGAGTATACCGGTATACTCATGGCCCATTGGTGTACTTCTAGAGGAACAAGGATAGCACGCGATTGTCGCTCCTTGTCTGACATTATCTCCCAACAATCGCATCCGTGTGCTCAACGTGTCGGTGTGTACCTTCACGGACGCTACACTCATACGCGATGAAAGAGAGACAAAGACAGCGCATCATTTCTCTTTGTCAAACGATCAGTGTACTACCAGAATCGAAAAGTGGATGTAGCACGGATATGAACCAAAATCGAAAAGTGTAGGTAGCACGGACATTAACCAATCGGCTGTTTTATCGGCTCCGAAAGTGGATGTGGTCATGTAGTTCCAGGCGGCGTAAAATGGATGTACGTGACGCTAGTGTACGACCTAGAAAAAGCGTTACACGAAAAACGGCAGCGTGGCGACTCTCATTCTTCTCTCTGCCGTGATTGATTCGGAATAATCACTTCTTTGATGTAATATAAATCCAAGAGAGGTGTATTTTTCATTTAAATGTATTATTCTCAAAAGATACAATGCGATATCTGTTTTAGATGGCTCATCTGTCACAATTGCCCTTTCTCGCGTTACAAAACATCCGGCAGGCCGTAGTATTAGGCGATATTAATAATTTAGGTTTGTATTATGGTTGTACAGGTTATTTTGTCAATATACCATAAAATTGAATATATAGTACATAAAATGATGTATTAAAAGAATACACTTAATGAAAAAGTAATTTCTTTTATTCAGCAAAAATATGCGTCAGGTACGCTTCGAAGAAAGCTGGTAGTAGTACCAGTAATAAACCTGGTCATGCTAGACCAAAACATAGAGGATGGAAAAGACCGGATGGATCTTATGTACAAGCAGGTACGATATTAGCCACGCAGCTAAAACCCAGGTTTCATCCAGGTCTTAATGTGAGTATTAATTACATATAAATTTTTTTTGTCCGATTACTATGAGCTTTCTGTACATTTATTAATACTTCTGATTAATAGGTTGGTTTTGGGCGAAATGGAACTTTATTTGCCATAGAAGCAGGCAAAGTAATGGTAACTTGTGAGAAAATTAATCCTTATTGGAATCATACTTGGGTTAAACGATGTTATGCTGGCCGTGAAGGCCAAGTTATATATAAGAAACACTTTAATGTTATTCCTCATCCACAACATAATCGATTTCTATTGATTGACAGAATATAAATATGCATATTATGTAGAGAAAATGTGTATAGAAGTTTTTTAATTGTTTTAAAATTCATTAGTACATATATTATTAAATTTTCAGATATTGCTTGAGACTATTCTTATAATGATTCATCAGTGTATAATAAAAAGAAAAGTTTCTAAAAGATTTCAAATTAAAGAGAGAGAGAGAAAGAGAGAAAATTAAAATTGATTTCTTATATACACAAGTTAAAATTATAAGATATAAAATTAAAATTACAGAAATATTCATGGAAAATAACTCTTTAAAAGAGTCTATTAAATTTAAAATATAAATAATTATACTTTACTTCAACTTCTCTCTCTCTCTCTCTCTCTCTCATTTGATTAAAATATCAACTATTTTCAAATAAATTATTTTCCGCCCACTGAAACGATTGATATTTTACTCTATCCTCTTCTTCATAATATGTAGCAAACACCAATGTCTTTCTGACATGACAACTGATTCTACATTGAGCTACAAGTTCTGTAATAGACATTTCTTCGTTTTTGCATTTACACTGTATTATAAATTGTGAATGAAACATTATTGGATCACCTGTAAATAGAAAATTATTAATGATTAATATAGTGCAGAATAGAAAATTTCCTAACAATACAAAAAGGAACGAATATTACCTGGATATACTAAGAAGTCGCCACCAAATTTTTCTCCACTAGTAATATAATATTCTTTTTCCCAAAGATCTTTGTATACTTTATATTTATGTCGTTGATTGGAAGTAAATGGATATTTCCACTCCACTACTTTCATATCATCTTTATGAAACCATGGATATGCTAATAATGTAAGAATACATTTTATTAAACAATATATATACATAGATATATGTATAGATTACAAACTTTTGTATGCATTACCTGTGTGTATTTGAACAAGAGCTTCGGTTTTACTTAATTTAGGTAATTTAGCCATTTCTTCCTCAAGCAAATTTTGAGTATTAATTTCAATACCGTCTAATGCTTCCTGTGTCTTTTTATCTAATGGCTTTTTCATACTTTTTTTGTTTGTCTGCAACCCCAATATTTTACGCTTTTTTCCTTCGACAATTTTATCCATCACAGAAGTAATCTTATAGAAAAATTCATTCTATCATAAAATATCTTATGCCTTAATATTTTTTAATATAAATATATACAAATTGTAATTACTTGTTTCCTTCTGTTCTCTCTCAAACATTCTGCTTGCTGTACAAACAGCGTGTTCCTATATTCTTGAAATTTTTCACTCAACGATTCAGTTGGTGGTTTTTCTATGTTATGCTGGCCGTGAAGGCCAAGTTATATATAAGAAACACTTTAATGTTATTCCTCATCCACAACATAATCGATTTCTATTGATTGACAGAATATAAATATGCATATTATGTAGAGAAAATGTGTATAGAAGTTTTTTAATTGTTTTAAAATTCATTAGTACATATATTATTTATTGATTAAATTTTCAGATATTGCTTGAGACTATTCTTATAATGATTCATCAGTGTATAATAAAAAGAAAAGTTTCTAAAAGATTTCAAATTAAAAAGAGAGAAACAAAGAGAGAAAATTAAAATTGATTTCTCATATACACAAGTTAAAATTATAAGATATAAAATTAAAATTACAGAAATATTCATGGAAAATAACTCTTTAAAAGAGTCTATTAAATTTAAAATATAAATAATTATACTTTACTTCAACTTCATTTGATTAAAATATCAACTGTTTTCAAATAAATTATTTTCTGCTCACTGAAAAGATTGATATTTTACTCTATCCTCTTCTTCATAATATGTAGCAAACACCAATGTCTTTCTGACATGACAACTGATTCTACATTGAGCTACAAGTTCTGTAATAGACATTTCTTCGTTTTTGCATTTACACTGTATTATAAATTGTGAATGAAACATTATTGGATCACCTGTAAATAGAAAATTATTAATGATTAATATAGTGCAGAATAGAAAATTTCCTAACAATACAAAAAGGAACGAATATTACCTGGATATACTAAGAAGTCGCCACCAAATTTTTCTCCACTAGTAATATAATATTCTTTTTCCCAAAGATCTTTGTATACTTTATATTTATGTCGTTGATTGGAAGTAAATGGATATTTCCACTCCACTACTTTCATATCATCTTTATGAAACCATGGATATGCTAATAATGTAAGAATACATTTTATTAAACAATATATATACATAGATATATGTATAGATTACAAACTTTTGTATGCATTACCTGTGTGTATTTGAACAAGAGCTTCAGTTTTACTTAATTTAGGTAATTTAGCCATTTCTTCCTCAAGCAAATTTTGAGTATTAATTTCAATACCGTCTAATGCTTCCTGTGTCTTTTTATCTAATGGCTTTTTCATATTTTTTTTGTTTGTATGCAACCCCAATATTTTACGCTTTTTTCCTTCGACAATTTTATCCACATATAAAAACGTTATTTTTCGAAGAAATCAGGTGAATGACATTCAGCGTATCCATAATTGTTTAATTGGTAATTGATAATGCCTCAGAAAAAAATAAATACATTATTAGAATATTTTTAATATAGTTTCTAATCAGAGATCTTGTTTTTTTAGACCATACTTTTTCATAATTTATATGAAAGTCAACACAAGCTAAACGCACAGCTGTCAATTATAGATTGTGTTCGAAATTTTACTCGTCGGAGTAATGTTGATAGACCAATCAAAGCAAAGAAATCTTTGCTCTTTTTGTTTTGATTGGTCAACCAAATTCTACTACACTCCGCAAGTAAATTTTCGAACACCGTCACGATATCTTTTAAATTTAATACGTCATTGGTTGATCTTTCTATGCATCCTTTATAGTGAAATAGGATTGGCCGGTTTTTTCTCTCTCTATTTTTCTTTCTCTTTTTATATGTAGCATTACAATATTATGCTATACACACAAGTTTTTCTGAATGGGATATGGGATCTTTAAAATGCAATGTGCACTGTTCATAAGAGGACGTCTATGACGTCATAAGTCCATCATTTTCACGAACAATAAGTTTGCGGAAAGAAGGGGAAGGAGAAAAGAGGGTGAGAGAGAGAGAGGTGTGATTGTCGAACATCTGTCACCAAGCGAACGCTAGCTACGTTCAATCCCGAAAACCGCAATACTGTCATGGCACCCGCTTTTGTGATTTTTTGAGACAGCCACGTACATACATACGTACATAAGCGCGAATTCGCATTGTGGTCAGTGTTCAGTGATTTTATATAAGACGAATCTTTTATTCCTCCGTACACACACAGACGGTGAGTGTGCGATATCATCCTGGCCGGCTAATCCTTGTTTATGTACATACTTATCCGCATGCAAGCAAGTATGGTGTGCGGTTTAGGGCAAGCCCTTCGACTCAACGAGAGATCACGTTAATCTTGCTGGACCAATGATCTGTAATGCGAAATAATAACAACATTGCGAAAGTGATCTTTTTCTTCGAATTCATAAACTCTATTTAAAGTGCAGTTTATATTAATAAAAAAGGATTACACACACATGGATGATTTTTTTTAAATAGTGTTTTGAGATTATACAATCACAGTACACTTACATTTGATACCGAGAATATAAATATAAAAAACACGAATTTTATATACTTATATTAAATGTACATATATTGTTTATTTGTATCGTGGTTGTATTTACATTAATAGTGATTTGCGAGAGTGTCATCTTAAGAGGCGATAGATTAAAATATTACTAATAATATTTATCATTTAATCAATACAGCAAGTACAATATTATCAAACATATATATTTATTAATACTTCAAAATTTATATGTAATGGATATTATTTATATGTAATATATATTATTGAATGTGATTTTATAGTGACACTAATGTTGTTTACCTTTTCCTTTAGATAATAAATCATGAGCTCAGGTAGACCAATAAAATGTGTAGTAGTAGGAGATGGAACAGTAGGAAAAACTTGCATGTTAATCTCATATACAACGGACAGTTTTCCTGGAGAATATGTACCTACTGTGTAAGTAATGTTATTTATATTAAAACACAAATTATATACAGTATCTGTTCTTTGAAAGAATTTCTTACTTTTATAATTTATACATTAAAGATGTATTTTATGACAAGGTTTTTGCCTTAGTTTCTTTCTTAGACCAATCAAATGGAGTGGCTAATAATAGTAGCAGAGAGTATGAGATACCTAACTGCTGTGTACAGGAAGTAATTTATTTCAATTTGTCTTTTTATGTTGCTTCCTGCCCTTTAGATTCTCACAAATCTATTTTTGCTTTATCTCATTCAGCAATATCTTTCTCAGCTTATATAATTTGTATAATTAAAATATAAACATCTAAATAAAAATAGTGAATAAATAATCATTCTTCACTTTTTTTTACCAAGATTTAAATAAAATTTAAATAATCAAGATTTAAATAAAATATTTAATAGATAGTGCTGGATAAATTAAAAATAGATTGAAAAATATAAAATGTACACCAAGTTTCTAATATTTTTCAGGTTTGATAACTATTCTGCGCCCATGGTTGTTGACGGGATTCCAGTTAGTCTAGGATTATGGGACACAGCAGGACAAGAAGATTATGACAGACTTCGTCCTCTCTCCTATCCTCAGACAGATGTGTTTCTTATTTGTTTCTCAGTAACCAGCCCTTCATCATTCGAAAATGTAACCAGTAAATGGTACCCCGAAATAAAACATCACTGCCCAGATGCACCAATGATACTTGTTGGAACTAAAATAGACTTACGAGATGATCGTGAAACGCTTACTGCCTTAGCTGAACAAGGCCTTAGTGCTGTTAAGCGTGAGCAAGGACAGAAGTTGGCAAACAAGGTTTGTAGAAAAGTACTTTATGTCCTAATTTTTATATGCTACAGTAATCTAGTAATAAAAAATTGCAATATATGTCACAGATTCGTGCAGTGAAATATATGGAGTGTTCTGCTCTCACACAACGTGGACTGAAGCAAGTGTTTGATGAAGCGGTACGCGCTGTTTTAAGACCTGAGCCGCAAAAACGTCGGCAAAGGAGGTGCATTATGTTATAAACGATAAAAGGAATTGCAAAGAAAATCAGCATAAATAAACGTAACGTATATATAGCAACAGATCAAAATAGATCTGATAATTGAACGCAAAGAAAAAAATATGAATGTTTTTAAAGAGAAAATGAATAGTACATGTGCATTTTAACGAATTATTCTGGCAGCTATAGAATATACCGCATCACAGAAAGAGTACAATTTATAACTTTCTGGTCTCAGTTGCATGATGCTAATTCGCGACCAGAAGGTTTAGACAACGAGAAAGTAAAAAAAGAAGATAGGATAACTATTTAACAGTAATTACAGGAAGAAGTTTATTGCAGGCTTACAGATGTCGTTTCTTAAAGTTGCGTTTATGCATATATTGCATATTGCTGAAAAAAATATGTGACATAACGTGCAGTCGATAGTAATGGGAAAAGGAGCTCACAAATAATGTTTCTTCATATTTTACACAAAAGAATCTCGATTAATTAATATTGCAGTTTTACAAATCGATGATAATACAGTGTAAATGTGCTGTGATGACTAAAAGCATTAAGTACCGAAGCTTTACTTATCAGGGCTGCCAGATTTTCGATTTTTTACATTTACAATATAATAGGAACATTGATTTTAGTACATGTATAACGCGATAGCTACCATAACAATCACATGCTGGAAAGTTTTACAAGATGTAAAACTGGCATTATATAGAATTATTTGAACATACACAGTGCCATAGCAACGAAGAATCAAATAAATGTCGCAAGCACTCTCAATCACAATCAGTTCTAGACAATATATGTGTGTGTGTATTTTACTAACAACAATTAAGAGTTTTCTAATATAGAAATTTTTAACAGGTTTTATCAGTCATAGAAATTAAAGTGTATAAAATGTTTTCTTAGGCAGAAGTATAGATTTGTCTTTCCATTTTTTTAAAACATTTGTTATCTTTAATTTATTTATAATTCTAGTAAGAAATGTGTATGTATGATATGCATACAAGATACTGCCATATAAAATAACATAAACACGAAAATTCATAGTATTCTTCATATTGTTAAAGAAAAAGAATCGATAATATTGTGTAATAATTGTGCAAATTAAATTTAATAATGATGCATAAGATACTTTATTGTCTAGAATTGGAACAAGTTTTCCAATTATTAAAACATTAAAAGAAATAATGTACTATGTCTGTACATTAACATTTATTTTATTTTGATAAATCTAAAAAATCAAATTATTTTAATATGATTTTATAGGAGGATTTAAATATAATCTCTCCTATATTTTATAATGTAATATTTTCGATTTGTGCTTGTATAAGAGATATAACATTCTACAAGTTATTGCATTGATGCAATTTGATTATTAACATTATTCAAATATCTTTTATGTTAACTAAAAATATCCTTTATAAAAATAATAATCAAAAAAAGTATATTGATTGAATACAGAAATGCCAATAATAAATATACAGCAATGCAAAGTCCACTTAAATTGAAATATACAAATATAGCACAATGTATTTTCTTAAATACTATAGTATATCTCGCTCTCTCTTCCATTTATTTGTACGAGAATTGTTTACATAAAAAGAAATTAATGAAAAACTATAATAATTTAGAGAAGAATAGAGATGTCTTGTACAAATAAGTGATCTATTGCTATAAAGTTGCTCATATCATTATCTCTAATTAATTACCTTATTAAATAATTATAATCGTGATTGTACTTTTTTCGTATTTATAGATATTTTTTCTATTTACACTAAATTAAAAGAAAAGATCAAATTTTATTGCCATAGATATTATACCCTCTTTCTAAGGACCCAATGATAAAGTAGTGATGATAAATGAATATTACCCTATTTGTGATCATGCTATTTTTTTATATTCGAAAAATAAGGATATATAGAAGAGATATGACCTTTGTGCCATATTTGTGCTTTCCATTTGTAAAACAGATATTAAATGCCACACTTGATATTCTGGGGCGCGGCAAAAATTCCCAAATAATTTAAAATTTTCAAAGTTAAATGAAAAAAATATTTAATACTAGAGCAGTCGAGAGGGTGGACAGCTATTTAGAAAAATAATTCTCCATCTTATTTCTAAAAGAAGAAATAAGAGTAATATTTTTTCATAATAATAAAAAAGCAGATTTTTCTCATAATCTGTATTACTAATACTAACTCACAAAAACACACATTTTCAAAATAATTATTTTGATTATTTTAATGTCAAAATGCTATAAAAAGCAAATAAAAAAGACATATTGCAGCTAAAGTGTACATAATGTCTCACAGAAGCATACTCTAAATTTTTCGAGCTTATATCTTTTAAGATTTAACTTTGAATGGTTTCTATTCTTGAAATCTCTTTGTATACACGCCGATAAGTTTTATGAAAAAAATTGTTGGATTATTTAAAATATGGGATAGGCAAACAAATGGATGCAATGATATTCATGTATTTTGTTTGAGTTGTGTGATGTTTTTTTGAGATAAAATACAACTATCGCTAGATAATTATGTATGTAATTTATCTTGCAATATATTTCTAATATTCTCTTACATTCAAAAAAATCACGCAATTTATGCTAGAATATTCAGCATAAATATTAAAAGCGTATGTTTTGAAAATGATGATTGATCAAGTTTAGGCTCTCTCTGTTTTTTTATCTTTTTTATTACAATCTCTAGGAAGATAGTTTTAATTCTTTATATGTATATGTATACGCCTGCATATGTATAATAATGTATTAGTTATAGCACAACACTAATATCCTATAATTATGTATTATAAGATAATGTTATGCATAGATTGCATTTTTTGTAAGTAGTGCACTTATTTTACAAATTTTAAGATACTTATACATGTTAGCTTTTTTTTTATATTGCATAATACTGCCAAATGACAGATTAACAGCAGCAATGTGTATTAGCAGCAGTATTTGACAATTTATTTCTATTATGATCTTATATGCATTTGTTTTGTACAAGACATTTTTAACATTATTTCTTATAGTTTGCTGAAATAAAGCAAATTTAGTTACGTAATTGATACAATTAATAACATTACTAATAGTAATCTATTGAGATAGTGTGTACATTGCCCATATTTTTTGATGATAAACTTTAATTTGGGCATATAACAGTGTGATGTAATTTTAATTTTTCACTACTTACAACTTTTGCACTTAATGACGATCGCTTAATAAGATGCGAATTACTCTTTTTAATCTTTCCTATTTTAAACAAAATCATTGAGGGATGCTATAAACCAAAGTTATAATATATTATGATCTAAGATAACATTTACATTTTTCTGTTATGGACTATTGCAAATAAGTATACAAAGAATGAATGTATGAGAAATGTAAAAATATTCTAGTCACCACGAATCTGCTTCTAATTTTTATTCGTGCACACGAATAAAATGCTCGGAAAGATTGTGTAAAGCAAAAAAAATGCAATCCCTAAATGGAGCAGGTTAATGAGCGTATGAATGAGCGAAAAAGCAATGAAGATAGAAAAGAATGAGGATATGAAAGTAAAGAGATGCAATTTAATATTGTCAATTTAGATAGAATGCAAGAAAACCAAACGCGATGTGAGAACAGGAATTCTGTAGAAATTACAAATATATGTATATGTGCTAAGATATATAACTTCAATTATGCATAATTTATAAACATTTGTCTCTATTTTCGTATGTATAATAGAATTTCTTATTTATGTATAATAACATAAGGACAGCATAAGAGAGCATCCCATTACTCCTACAAATTTTCAAATTTTATGAATTTTTATGAATTTCTTTTTCTTTTTGTGACAATGAAATACTTGAATAAATTTACAAAACAGATATATATATATATTTCCATTATTGATGTATCTTCTCTACGCTTAATGCACTCTTTTGCTGTCATAACGATAGCGAAAACAGCGCAAACAGGTAATAAATAGCGGCCTCAAAACTGATTTATCGGATTATCCCATTTTTTTAGGAAGATTATAATTAACAATAACAACTATACAATGTGAGCAACATGATTACATAATTGCATATTCTATATGGCACTAGGAAGCATTTATTTTTTATTTATATGTATTTTGAAAACAACTTTTTAAAATAAACGATATAATAAAACTATTACAAAATAGTGTAGTTTGCAAAACATCGTTAATTACTTATATATATCTCCTGTTTTGCAATTAGCGCATTAATATTTCTATTGTCACACGTAAATTAGAAACATGTTAAAAAATACAATATTTGTTTATTCGTGACCGTTTAATCACAACTTATGACTGAATTAACTTTAAGTTTTTATAATTCGAAAAAAACTATTTCTGGAAATATTCTTGCAGCGATATCATCCCTGTCATACATAACACGTGCGCGGGGCACCGAAATATTCCAAGTCTGTTCTGGGATCAGCCACGTGTTAGACGAGGAGATTCCGTTCACCTGTCCTTATCTATTACACGACGATCACGAGTACATGTATATATATGTATCACGGGAAGGAGGGGACAGACGAAATATCAGACGAGGAGTGACCGTGTGGGGTGTACGACACATTATTATGTTATATGCATGCGACGTCGCCCGTGACACCGTGTCGTGTAAAGTGTAATAAAGAGCGGTGTAAAAGAGAGCGCGCGATACCTTCTCAACGCGCTTATCATCATCATCATCGTTATGGCTCCGTTCGCGTGGACCTTCCGTGGCAACATCAACCGGTTTTTCATCGACGCGCAAATCTTGCAGTATTTGATCGTGCTAGTTGGCTTGTTCAATCTCTCTCTCTGCCTCTACGAGGATCAAGTCGGCAAATTCGATTGGTAAATGAATCGCTCGCAACCTTCGGAGCAACCTCAATAATGCATAGCCGCGTGTTCCCTTCCCTCCACCGTGTTTGACAAGATAGTGCTCCGCGAATTATTAAACGGAGTAATAAATCTCATTTTCAAAAAAATCAGCGCGATCGCTTAATCCGCGTATTTATTCGTTTCAGGAGACAGAACTATGTCGGCAAAATTAAATTCGCCAGTTTCGACACGGTGTCTACGGCGAAAAAAATCATCGTCGCCACCGAAGAGAACGTCATCGCCGCGCTTAATCTGAAATCAGGTAAATAAAATATATTTCGTATCTTGTGCGTCTCGTCTCGAGATGTTGGTTCTCGATTAGTAGAGGATCACATGCTATGGCTTCCTTGATATTTTAACTTAATTGTGTTGATTAATTGTTATTTATATTTTTTCTTGATTCCAATATTATATTCAATATTACATTCAATGATTAAATATATTTTCAAGCTAATTAATATTATGCGAAAAATCACTTTATATATTCAGTAGCAGATTCAACTCAAAATTAAATTTATTCATAATATTTGTAATATATAATAGGCCGGATATTGTGAATTATATTCAATGTTACATTCAATGATTAAATATATTTTCAGGCTAGTTAATATTATGCGAAAAATCACTATATATTCAGTAGCAGATTCAACTCAAAATTAAATTTATTCATAATATTTGTAATATATAATAGGCCAGATATTATGGAGGAGAGTGTTGGAAAAAGGTTATGGTGGACATATCAGAACTCTAGGAGGTGTCGCTGATGGGGATCTGATATCTGTAAGTGGAGGTGTTCCTGCCATTGTGCGCGCTTGGGATTTGGCAACTGGGCATATACTTAACGAGTGGCCAATAGCTGAGCCAAATACCGATAGGTTTGTGTAAAATATATATTGATTTTAACAATTTTTCTAAGTCCAATAAAAAATGAAACAGATTTTTTGCTGAAAGAAAAATATGTGTTTTTAGTGTTAGATATATATTATACGCAAGATAGCGTATGTGTGTATATATACATACATTTGTTAAAACTTTTAAAATTAATATAATTGAGAATAAATTATAATCTGTTGCTTTTGCAGACATGAATCTCCATTTATATCATTTTCTACATTGGGCTTGTATTCTGCTGACAGGTTTTTCTACCTTTATTTAAAGCACAGTCTATAACATATATTTTGTACACCTAATTGTAATTTATTATTTTACATTGAGCTACTTATTTCAATGCTCAATATCTAATTATCTCTTACCATTCTTAAATTATATATACACAATATAGGAAATAAATATAACTTACAGATTTATTTATGACAGGAGTAAAATTTTTTATGTTGTACTGTAATATTGGTTAAATAAAATTATGAGAATGTTTATGTTGTGTATTTCTTTTTGGAACACATTACTAATAGGTACAGTTTTTTGTTTTTCAGGATAAAGGATGTAAAATGGCATATTAAAGATGGAACGTTACATCATATACTACCTATTTATAATAGCGGAGTTGAAGTAACATCTTATGATAGTAAAACAGGAGAAAAATTAAAGACTCGAAGGGTTTCTGCACCATTTATAAGTCAAGAAACAGAGTAAGTAATCTTGAACTTACAATCAGATTATTTTTTTTTTTTTGCTTTATATTAAGCATATACATTAAATGTCATTATATACATTGCAATATTGTCTTTGTAAATGATCTATGTTTTAATTTGTCATTTACTACGATACTCAAAAGTATTTTATTTAATTTTATTTGTAGATGCGTTCTGGCAGCTCCATATTTAGCATGTTTGAAGGGAGACAGTTCTTTAGCTGTAGTGTTCCTAGTACATCTATTTGATACTAATGCACAGCCACAGTCAGTTACGATCAATACAATATTCGGGGCTGGCGCACAAGGGCCATATAAACTAGAATCTGTACTTGGAGAGGAACCTGTAATTTCCATTAATGCCGATAACGACCAAAGAAAGCGGATTCTAATTATCGGAGAACTTCCGATTCCTATACAGAGAGATATCGCTGGTGATGCAACGCTTTATGTTGTTTCTATTGATAATGAGAAAGTACTTTTGGAAACAACATATAAAAATGGAGTAAATACAAAAATATGCTATCTATTATTCTCGAAGTAAAAAAGAAAAAATTTCTACAGTAGCTTTTTAAACAAACATTCTATAATATTACTTACAGAGAATAGAAATAGCGGCTACAGATCTCTCGTCGTCCACACCTTTACCTGATTTATCGGTCACGTTAACACACACTTCTATACAATCCCCGGCCATAATGGCATCTGTTTGTCCGCGTCAAACGAAAGGAATAACATGCCGTCATTTGTTATCTTCGCAAGATCACAGCATTGCGCTATTGCAACATAATAAACTGGTATGGGCGAGAGAAGAAGCACTTGCCAGTATTGTAGCCGTTGAAATTATAGAGTTGCCCATGTCCGATAGAGATCAAGCTATCGAAACGGAATTCGATCAGAAAGAGAGTAAGTAAAATCTATCTGTATATGTCAAGAGAGATCATAAGAAATGAATAATATAATCAAGAGCTAAAAAAGTTTTTCTATTTCTATATTGAATTTCTATATTGAATTTGATTGAATATTTTCCATATAATTTACATATACATATGTAGAAATGTAACATAAATTTTATAAATTAAAATAAATGTTATATGTAAACGTTTCTTTTATTAATGATTTTATTAATGATAAAAGAATACATCAGAAAAAAATAAGATTAAATATCATTTCCGTTGAATAACGACTATTGTGTATTAATATATTAAATATGTGAAAAGTATTATCTTATATTTGTGCACTTTAAAAATATTATGATCGTATAATATCTATTATTTTCAAAATATTAAGTTACATATAGTGCTATCTGAAGAATATGTATTTATTAAGGAGCTTACTGTTTTAATTAATAACATTCTTGTGAAACATGGTTTATTGGCATAATTGAATTTCTATATATAACACAATCTATCTACATATCTGTTAAATTATATTAATTAACTCTCTTTTGTGTGTGAATGGCTGCTGGCAGGTATTGATGTAGACAGTTCATGTAAGTAGTGGAGCAGGAAAGCTGGTTTTAATGCAGAGTGCTTTGTTTTATGCTATTTACAAAACTTATATTGCATGGTGTAATGTTTATGTATAGGCTCCCAAAGACATTGAAAGATATAGAGTGATATATACATATGTGTAATTATTTAGCATTTATTCTATATTACTATTATTATATTGCTATCTGCATGATATATTGCAAAAAAAAAAAAAAATGGAATATCCATATTGGATATTTGCTATTATTGAGTTCAGGGGAGTAATGGGGGGTGTAATGAATCTCTGTAATGATATCTTTTCGAGACGAATAATATAATAATTTTGTTGATGTACAGAGTGTCTCAAAACAAATTCTCTGACTAATTTGAAACGGTCTTTCCTTAGTGAAATTATCGAGGCATCAATAATTTCCGAGTTATAAGCGATTGAAAAAGAAAGACTTTTTAGAAACTAGACTTTCTAGAAATAAATGGTTAACAAAATTACATTTTTTAGTTAATTTCAAATAGAGTTTCTTTTAACAAAATTTTAATTTGTGGCTTAGTTACAAAAACATGTCTTGGAAAAAATTGGGCATTTGCAAAAAATGATGACTTTAACATTTTCACTAACGAAAAATTGACTCCAAATTGGTCAGAGAATATGTTATTAAAAGGACATCCGTAGATTTTAGAATTTTTTATTCTAAATATGATAACCAGCTATGTTAAAATGAATGAAGCTTTTTGTGCGAATTTCAAAGCTGTCGCGCATATGTAAAATTATTAGGGTTTTATAACTCAATACAAAGACTTAATAATTGCAGCTATTTGCTATTGTTTCCCTCATCTAACTTTTTATATCCTCCTACTAGCTAAATCATCCAACTCATAGATTTTGGTATAATAACATACAGTTATTCAGAGATATATTTTCTAATTATATCTTATATTGCTTTAAATAGGGGATGTGCTAAGTATGTTTCTACGAAGGATTACTTCTCAAATTAATCAAGCCAGAGCATTCTTTCAAACGATACTGGATTTAGGACCTCAGCAATCTAATCAACGTATCGATCTCGTGCGAGATAAGTTCGGCCTGCACAAAATGATCGTAGCCGTTACGTCCGCTGGCAAGGTATGAATCTATATATATCAAATACTGCGTCTTGTGTATTGGAAATTATTACATTAAGTTTATCATTTGTAGTTGTATGGTATTGAAACTAGGAGAGGTGAAATTATCTGGCAACTCAGACTACCTAACATCCGTGGTTTTACAAAACTGTCTAATATAATGATCTTATATGTACAAAGAGGTAGCAGACACTTTCCTCATCCACCTCAATGTGCATTATTAGCAGAAGACAAGGTACAATGATAAATGTACAACACATATTTCTATTTATCTCGTATCTGACATATTGTTTTTTGTTTATGGTAGGAAACTGGAGAAGGTGTTGTATACACTTTTAATCCGATTACCGGACAGCCATTGGACGGACTGGTGAAACTTGGGTACAAAATTAAGCAGTCTATGCTACTGCACGTAACGACCGATGACTTCTTGCGCAGTATCCTGATTCTTGACGCACGAGATAAAGTTCACGTTTATCCCGACAGCGCTATCACAGTTGCGGCTTCACTAGGCAAGAGTACATATCTCTTTACTGCTGATCAAACGACAGGAATATTGTCCGGCTTCTCTCTTTCATACAGCACGACTCAGGTTCGTTATATAAAGATATGTATATTTGGTGCATCACTAAACATAAATGTAAGAATTGATCATTTTAATGGTCGATACAGGAACTAATCGCTCACAAGGTGTGGGAGTTGTTACTATCGCCGAGAAATCAAAGAATAACGCAAGTTGCGGCGAAAAATCCGATAGAACGCGTGCACTCACAGGGGAGGGTCTTAAGTGACAGATCGGTATTGTATAAATACATTAATCCTAATTTAGTGGCTGTGGTGACAGAAGGTATCGGACATGCCCATAAAAGTAAGTGTATCTCTATTGTTTGCCGTATAATACTCGATCGATACTATTTTTCGAAAAGAGAGAAAAAGAAGATATTTTTAATATTTTTTTTATTTTGTGTATAGATACACTTAATTTATATCTATTGGATGTAGTATCCGGGGCTATGATTTTCTCCATCACGCACAAGAGAGTACGCGGTCCAATCCATATTGTGCACTCGGAAAATTGGTTGGTATATGGTTATTTTAACGAGAAAGGACGTAGAACGGAGATTGCTACATTAGAACTCTACGAAGGAAAAATACAGAGTAACACCACAGGTGAAAACCAAAGTTAATCTTTTTAGTCTGTGTATCTGTACGCCTTAAGAGAAAAGGGAATGATATCCATTGACTTATGTGGTATTAGTCGTTTTAATTTTATATATATAAGGTATAACAAAAGAGATATTGAGTTTTTAATATCTCTCTTCCTCATTTGTATCTTAAAAAATCTATTTACAAAACGGGATATAGATAAACAGGTTTCTTTTTTCTCAACCAAGATTTTTAATATAACTAAGCGGCCTTTATCAGAAAATTACGAATTTTGGATATTGGCTTTTTTTTCTTTCAAAGTACAGATATATATGTATTATTATTTTGATAATTCATAACAATTATTGGGCGTTTCAGTATTTTCTTCTTTAGCAACAACAAAATTGCCAATTGTAGAAAGACAAGCTTTTATATTTCCGGCATCTATAGAATATATGCAGGAAACAATCACTGAAAAGGGTATTACTAGCAAACATATAATAGGTATGTTTTAGTTCGGACTGTGAGAACTAAAAGAAAAATTCAATTCTTATTATCTAAATATGTTGAGATATCAAATATTAAGGGACACATGAATATTTAATAATGTTATCCTCATATATTTTCACTAGTTGCTTTAGCCAATGGTGGAGTATTAGAGTTGCCGTGGATGATGGTGGATCCACGACGGCCTACTAATCCTGAAATGCGAGAAGAAGGAGTAATACCATATATGCCCGAAATTCCAATCCATATGGATGCTATTATTAATTATAATCAAAGCGTTTCTAGGGTTACGGGTATTCATACTAGTCCCAGTGGCCTTGAAAGTACTTGTTTAGTTTTTGTACATGGTCTTGGTGAGTATAGCATCAATGCTAGATCATTCGATTCTAAAATACTATGTGTGTGATGAGAATGTTATATAAGTATGACTTCTTATACATATAAGTGAAATAAACGTTGTTTCTTGCAGACCTGTTTTACACAAGAGTGGCACCATCTAAAACATTCGACGTCCTAAAGGAGGACTTTGACTATTATCTTATTGTGATAGTACTCGCGGCGTTGTTGATCTCATCGTACATCACCAAAAAATTAGCATCCCAAAAAGCTCAGAAACAAGCGTGGAAATGATGCTTCTCTTTTCTAGAATCGTGTAATATTTATGAATCTGTTCACTATAGGCAAAAAAATTTTTGCTAAAAATAACTTGTAAAATATACTGTTTTATAAATAGCTAATTTTAAAGAACTAACGCGTAAATGCTCTAATACTTTATCATCTCTTACCTAAAAACATTTGTATCTTAAATCTTAAATAAAAAAAACAATATATATATATATATATTCTTTGATAGTACAGAAAATGTGAATACATATTGCAATAAAATTTTTCTGAATCTTTCAAACTATGCTGATCAGTATATGATAAGAACGGACCATATGGTCATCGATCATTAAACTACATATAAATAATTGATAACATACTCAAAGCTTGTAATTGCTGTTTTATTAATTGTACAGCAATGATTGTAAAAGGCACGACATATTTCTTTCGAGATACCTGTAATTCTTCGATATAAATCAAAGCAGAAATCACCAATTTATAAATATAAATAAAATTACAATCATAACTTGCATTTCACAGTGAGAATATTAAAATATTAATGTATATGATACTGAACAATGCGTTGAAAGATATATATAAAATATTTGCTTAATACACAAAAAGAAAATATGTGACTGTCTTATATTAAATGATATAATCTAATTTACAAATAAATATTGTTTATATGATTTCAGATTCGCGATTATGAAATAATCTAGAATCTTTTTGAAGAACAGTATATTTTGCATTTATCTCTGTGTACCTGTAATTCATAATTCTTTGTAACATATTGTATGTAAGGAGTTTATGCACTTTATATACACTTGTATATTTGAAATTTCTTGCAAAGTATCCTCTTTAAGCTCAATTTTACAAACAGATAAATTTCCTTAAAAAAATATCATTTATAATATTTGCAAGAAATATCATGTAAAGAAATGTGATGATCTTATAAAAGAATTCTTTATTGTAGAAATGTTTCCCTAGTTTGATGAAAAATTTATCTTTGAATATTTTTATTGCTTATCACTTGAAGTGTATATTATCTCTCTTCAACTTCAGAAAATTAAATAATATTCTATTGAAAGAACGAAAAATAGCGGATTGTTGAAAAAATAATTTTTTAGTTTGCATTTATATGCATTTTTCTTCTCTAGGAAATAGTAGCTATGCAATTGCTAAATTATGTTCAAATACATCCCAAGAACTTTAAATTTTCTTTAAAAATTATAGAATTTAGATAACTTTTAATTATCCTAGCATATTTCTAATTTTTGTATAGTTTCAAAATCAGACAAAAGCGATCTACTCCTAAAAAAAACATCAAGATTAATATAAATGGGGATGTGTCAAGAATGCAGTATTTACTCTCATATACATATTAAAGTTGATATAAAAAACAGAAGAGATAATATGTAAATATCATCAAGCGTATCTATATATATGTATAGATATATATGCACGTGTATATGTGTATGTGTGTGTGTGTGTGTATATATATATATACAGGGTGGGACATTTATAGTGACGCGGGCATATTTTTCGGAAACGAAGTGAGATATCAAAAAATATTTCAGACAAAAGTTGCATGGTTTTGAGGGGGCCACATGATAAAAATATGGATTTGACCTTGAGTGACCTTTTCAAGGTGAGGTCAATATGGTCGATGTTTTCTTAAATGGAACTCCTCATTTTTTATTACATATTCTTGTAGCTTATCTCGAGACCTTTTCAAAATACTATATTAAAGTATTTTTTCATTAAGTATTTTTTGAGTTATTTTATATCTTAATCCTTTGTTTTATGAAGTAATATATCGCTTTGTAGATAATGAAAAGAAGTATAATTTATTATACACAAATTATTGTAAAATGTGGAAAAATATATATATAATTATAAAATCTGTTAGAATTATATATAAATAAAAAAATGGTGTCAAAATTTTTTCGCTACTTTTTGATGTGTATGAATCTACATAAATATTATTCATCCATGTATATTTCAATAATTCTAATAATCTACATCTTTTATATATAATTAACATTTTATACCATTTTAGTGATTCTATAAAGAATAAAGGCGTTTTGTAACTGAATGGCGCATTGTTGCCTTGAAGAATTTTGGTCCAGTATTTATGTTGTTCATTTGTATCATTTTGAAGGCCCCAATACTCTATTACAGTTCTTAAATATAATATGTATCTTATACTTTTAATATATACATTTATTTAACAGTGGATATCCTTTTTTTGGATGTATGTAATAATTTCGTTTAAGTTTTTATAATACTTGTTTGATCGAGCAACATTTGAATCCTGGAAAGTAACATTATATATTACATGCTAGATTTTAATTCATAGAAATCGTATTTTAATAATTAAATGCTAACGTACCAGCAGATTATTTATATCAAGTGTTGCATCAGGTGTTATTTGTGCAATTTTTGAATTCCAGATACTGAGACATTTCAACCACGCGATATCTCCATTATAATCGGCAATATCTTTGTACAATTTTACACAGCATGCCTATTAATGAGGAAATAAATAGTCAAAGACGTTTATAACATGTATGCAAAAGTTTATATACTTCTTTTGATCTCGATACTACCTGTAACATAGGATTTTGTCGTGCACTAAGATACGATTGTGTATTACTTAATATTTGCCATAATTCTCGCTCACGAAGTTTTAAGAGCTGGGCGATTAATCCCAATGTAGATAATAATTCGTATTGTAATTTGTAGGTTTGCGTAAACTTGTAAATATTCACAGAGCTTTTATCAATGCTTTCTGTGGAAGATTCAGCCAAAAATTTAAATACGAATGGCAATACCTGTCTGCAATTAAAAGATCAATTATTACACCATTACTTGGTGTTTGTTAATTTTGTTTTAAGAGCATATTATTCTGCGAAATACATAAAAGATATTTTACCGTAGAGTTCTGTTTCTGATAAAGTCATTCGATATGTTGGCAAGTACATGTAAGAGTTGCCATGAACGATTAATCACAAGAACATTTTTATCGTTAAATCTGTCGGTTAGCGGATGCCACAGTTGATGTACAATAGGTAATAGCTCATTCTCCCATTTGACTAACATTGGTAGACCTTCTTGAAGCGTTTGCATTGCCATTAATGATATGTGTACATCTTTCAAAGGTAAAAAATGTAAACAGCGTCTCATAACTTCTAGTATTATCTTTATGTGGGTTGGTAACTTTTTGTCTTTTTCATCTAGAATACATAAAATAAGCAATATATTTACACAATATTTATAAAACTTATAGATATATAAATTCTTATTATACCTTCTGCATTTAGATTAGAGTAATCTTTATTTGTCTCTTTTGTTAATTCTTCAAAATTTGGCACATCTGCATTTGATTCTGTCTCTTCAATATTATCTTCGAATTTTTCATCAATCTTCTTTGCATTATAATATTCCAACAAAGAAAGGATAATTGTCTCCGAAAGGTTATTTGTAGTTTGTATGTCTTCTTTCTTTATTATTTCTTTTGTATCCTCCCAACTTATTAATGTTTTCACGCACGCGATAAACGTATGAAATATCTTTAAGAAGGAATAAGTATCTTTTTGATGATAAGGCATACTTAATTGTCTGAGTACATCCTCCACAATTCCCTTTAAATGTGGTAAGAAGTCTAATTTGCTGTATTTCATAACAACTTCAATAACATCGAGCACGCCAGGATTACGAGCCACTTGGCGTAATTTCATTAAAATGTGATAAGAAAAATAATCTACGTTCGCACGTAATAGATCGCCGATCGTCTTATGTTGTTGCGTCTCCGCGATACTTTCGAGAGTACGCACTCCGATATAACTGATCAAACCGTTTCCACTACCTAAAAAAATCACATTCATATATGTATAACTTTATTTATGTGTAAAAAAAATTCTTAAGTTATCTTATAGAGTCAATGGCACACATGCATACATACCTGCTTTTTCAATAATTATGTACAAAGTTTTCAAAAGATATCTGTCATAGTCATGTTGTAAATTTTGTGCTATATAGCCTAGTCCTTCCATCAAAAGACAACACTGTACTATATTACTCTGTGCCTGCACCAAAGGAGTATCTTTAGATACTTCTATGGGCAAGTACCATACTTCCTGCATTGTATAAAAATCCACAATTTCCTTATATAAATGTGAAACAGATGGATCTTTAACAGAAACTGAAACAATGAAAATTGGAACTTTATAAAAACTAATCTTAATATTTCGTTTTATCCTTCAAATACATTATTTATATTGCCTGTATCACCTAAGATCCAGTTAAGTAATAAAGTCAGTTCTTTTCTGTGTTGTGATGCATCCGACATAAGCTCAAGAATAGTATCGACTAATATCCTAAAATCCCCAAATTCTCCAAGCAGCTTGCATATTGTGACAAGTTTGTCTCTACATGAACTGTTCTTAATAAATTTAAATTTTTTCCATGAATCTGATCTGTAGAAATACATGGGATCGTCTAAATCTTTCATATTTGTTGTTAATAAAGGGGATACATCATTACAATCTAATGCCATAATGTATACAAGGGCTAAAAGTAATCTTCGTATGTGAGCCTGTGATCTCATAATATGAGGTAATCTTTGTTTTCCAAATAGCTTTAGATAGCCAGCAAATTGATTCAAAGATGCTAATTGTTCATTATCATCTGAAAAATATAGATATATGCTTTAATTGACACATATTTTGATTTTTCAATTTATGTTCAAAAATTATGTATAATAAAGAGATACAAAGAATATCTTACCTGACCGTCTGACAAATGTAGGCAATCTTGTAAGTAAACCATAAAACTTATCTTCCAATGAATCAATTAATGGTCTCATATTGTGATTTTGCATGTAGTTTTCACTTAAACTGCGCAGCACATTATGTGCTTTTTCACTAACTTCTATGGACTCATCTTCAGACAAGGAAATCAAATAGTCCGTTAATGCCATAATATTTGGTTTCATATTTCTATATAAAATATTAAAATTTATTTATTTATGTTATATATTACTAAAGATGTAAAGAGAAAGAGAAAGAGAAGGAGGATAAAAGAAAACGTTATACCTAGAACAATTTTCGAGTATAAGATTGATACTTTCTACCAGTTCTCCTCTGACTTTACAATGTGAATGACTCTTGATCTTGTCCACAAGCTGTATACAAGCACCAAGCTTAATAGCTGCAGCTTCAAACCATTCCTTATTTCTTGTGGCTCCCTTTAGATTATGTTTTATATCACATTTACCATTATATGTTGCAGGGTGTGACGTCTCGATAAGGACACTGTAATCTTTTTTCATAAGTGTTTCTATAGAAAATGCAATGTCTTCCTCCCCTTCTTTATCATGCATTACAAGAGATATGACTCTTCCCCATGCTCGAACCGCCATCTGTAATATTCAATTAATGTATAGATTAATATCTGTTGTTCAAATAATTTGTTTCTAATTTTAAAGAGCATATAGATAATTATATCAGTATATATAAAGATATTATGTATTACCATTGTAACCTTATGATTTTGAACTTCACTTCCCATTGCTATTTCCTGTAGTCCACTAACAATACCAGGTAAAAATGCCATAATGGTATCTGCTACTTTTTCTTGTATAATGATATCAGACTTGTCTATTTTGTCATCTATATGACATAGAACCATTACTGCATCTATTCCTGCTAATCTAATAATAGATACATTGGTTTTAATTATATTCAATATATTAGCTTATAAAATCAATACATACAAATATATATATTTGTAAAAAATAATATTATTTATATTGAGATCATATATATTGAGATTAAATGTATAAATGTTATCTGCATAATGTTTCTTTTAAATGCTTACTTTACAATAGATGATTTTTCCATTCTTGCAATTGTTAAGCATAATAATATTCCTTGACCAAGTTTCAATATATTCTCTTTAATATAGAGCAATTCAATAACATCAGTAAAACTTTGGTGAATGAGGTCTTTGATACATAAAGCTACTGCTTCCTTAAGTTCCTCATGAAACATAATTACTATGTAAAATTCAAAAAAATAATTAAAAAAACATAAATAAACATTTTAAATTGATATAATTTATATAATATATACATACCATGATTTGGCTGACTTTTGTCAAAAATTTGAAGTAACAAAGAGTCATAGATATCATAAAAGTGCTTTAATTTTGTAATTCTAGTCTTCTGTATTATAACTCTCATAGTCTTTACCAATTGCTCTTTTACATTCATACTGTACAAGACAAATATTTATAAAACTTATAAAGAGATAAATTATAATAAAAACTATATAAATCGTGTTATTGGATTATTTATATATTTATATGCAATCACATTTTCTCTACTGCATATAATATGAATTACAAATTTATTACCTTAAACTGTTGTTTCGTAGAGAAGTAATAATGGGAAATAAACAATACTCTGACAAGTTTTGGACGACTTCATTGGAGATGTTATTGGCCACTGTTGCAATTCTATATGCATATTCTTTATTAGGATCTTTTATGAGATTATCACAGCATGATTTCAGCTCCAGGAAAATTTGTATGTCAGATTTTTCCATTTTGTGATACCAAAATTATTTAGAATATGTGTAGCATACTATCGCTTATGTTTAACCGTATATGTGATCCATTAGAATTATAATATTCGCGTTATGTATCAAGTTTACAATATAACGCAATATTACATTCTCCAATTAATTAATAACATTAATTATTTTTCAAATAACGAGCTAAAATACAATTCGTAAACATTTTGTATATTATACTACAGTAAAATTTACGTCAGTTATGTATATAACTACTTGTAATCTCAAAATTGTGCCAGCAGCGTCAGCAGTAGGTCTGTTCTTTATAGCTGAACTGGCTGCACTAGTTCAGAGTTTATCTTTTTCTCTCCCCATTGGAAGGAGAAAGATAAGCTCTGAACTAGTGTAGCCAGTTCAGCTATAAAGAACAGACCTAGTGTTGATGTTTGGAGTTGGTTTTTCGCGCATGCGCGAAAAACTCGACTCGAACACATCTCATCAGTGCATTCGTGCATCATGATTGTTGGCAGTGTTGTTTATTTTGATTAGTCAATCAAACCCTATTTTATTTTATGAGTAAAGGCACCTTTACATGGCAGCATTAAGCGTCGAGCGTCTGCGCAGAAAAATGCGCAGAATTTAAAAGAGATAGATTCTAGGCTGAAATTAGATTCTGCGCAATTTTCTACGCAGACGCTCGACGCTTGACGCTGCCATGTAAAGGCACCTTTAGATTTTCGAACACTATTCTGTACCTGTACCTGTACATAAAGGAAATTAAGGTTATGTTCTATGTTTACGCGTGTTTTTTAAATTCGCCGGTGTCTGTATCGTAAAAAAGCAATATTGAAATTTTTTTATATTTTTCCATCAGATGTTTTAATATTACATAATAGAATATTATCAATTTAAAAATGCCGATTTCTGCATTAGATGTAAGAACAGCAAAGCTAATTACTACCACACAGATAATAACTTCTGTGTACGCTGTGGTTAAAGAATTGATGGAAAATGCGCTCGATGCCGATGCTGACAATGTTGAGATTAACCTTGTATGTATAATAGTTAAATCTCGCATATTTATGCATATGTATGCATAAGATATATTTTTATAAAAAGAAGGTCATTATTCGCACGGTTTTTCTTTGCTCTCTTAGGTAGATAATGGTACATCTTTAATAGAAGTGAAGGATAATGGTCATGGCATATCTAAAGTAGATGCGCCATATATAGGATTATCTTCTTACACATCTAAAATATCAAATTTTGAAGATCTAGGTAATATATACTTCTATATTTATTTTATAATTTATTTAAATATTTTCTCATAA